TAAATGCAAGGCTATAATAGAGCAATACTATTAGTTAAATGGAAATAGTATATTAAACATTTTGCCCAGTTCTCTAGTTTTATTTATTTAACTGTAACATATTTAGCATTGTTAAACAAAGGTAATTTTAATATCTATTTTGTTTCATAGCTTTAATATCTACAGGTCTTCTCAAAAACTTGTCAAAACTATCTTGTGTTTCATAAAATACATTTTTGATGCAGACTTAAAGTTATATTTTACAAAATCCTACTATGTTTTTTGTCTATTTTGCTAGCTTCTGTTTCATTTGAAAGATGTAGTTGGCATTAATGGGCATTATAAATAATCTTAAGGCTTTTCAAATAGTCATATGGTGCTATTAAAGCGTGGTGAGGCCCTGAAACTTGACTAAATCAAGAAAATGTATTCAGATTTAAAAGGGAGTAGTAGTGCGACGCTTTATGGGTTGAAATTTATGGAGAAAAATGGGATTCAGAACTTGTTGATGATTCTGTAATCCATGTCATAAATAAGATGTAGATTTAAGTCATGTATCTTAGAAGAATTAGCAGGAAATGTAAGGTACTTCCTTTGTGCTGTTACAAATTAGATTTTTCTTTGTTCCCTTGAGAAGCCAGATTGAACAATAGAATATTCTGAAAGAGAATTGCTGAGCACCAGGGCCATGTTTTTGAAAACTAAGCATAGGAAGAACAGAGATGTATGCTGGGCGTTCTGAATCAGTTATCGGTGAAATCCTCTCATATCATTCACAATAGAAGCCCCCAAGTCAAGGTTGACTTTTCTAGCATTCACAACTTCTAATAGGCTTAGCCTTGCACATTTATAAAAGACTTATTTTTTTTTGCAAAATAAAACATCCTAACAAAGATAAAAATCTCCATTTCTTAGAAGTGGGCATAAAATGAGCCCTAACTTTACTCTTCACACAGCCATAAGACACTTAGTTAAGTTCATTAGTAATTGGCACTAGGTTCAAGGCTAGATCACTATTGACCAGTTAGTCTTCCACAGTGGAAAGAAAAATGTAGGCCGCTCGTGTACTTCTAAGATCTGTTCAAGCGAGAATTTCAAAGTTTGTGTGAATGAAAACATTACTAGTTTAGGGGGAGCAGTGAGTGAATATAGCATATGTTAAATAAAGCAATACATACACAATGTGTAATTGAAAATATGAGCTATGATATAATTTTAAGTATTGCTAAACAACTATAGAAAAGTAGAGCTATTATCTGTGTACTTAAGTATATCTGTCTAAATAAAAGGATGAAGTTCTGTTTGGGGCCAAGAAATATTCCAAGATTTTTTTTTAATTTATTCTGAAATTCCTATGTAAAATATTTTTTGGCTACCAATTTATATCATTTCTTCAGTTAAATAAAATTCTTTGCATTTTGATTTTCTGTAGACCTCCAAGTAAAGACTGACTGACGGAAAAGTAATTGCTTTGAAAAGTCTTTGTAATATACAATGACAAAGGGAAACAAAGTATTGAATTCTAGTGAGTCAGGATGCCACATTGACTTCTTGAGAGTCGAGTCTTTTTAAGAATGAACAGTACATTTTCATATTCCTATTAAACAGTAATATTTGTTGAAAATAATTTTCTGAGGTATTTGGGCTCATTTTATTATTTTTTTTCATCATAGAAAGATTATATTATATCATTTAAGTACTATGGTCATAGGGAAGTAGACGAGACTAAAAATACTGGTTGAGGACAGGCACCAGCATAACCACTTACCACTGGGTAATATGAAACAACAACAAAAAAATCTAATAGTAACTTTTAACTTTTCTAATGCATCAGTTTTTCTACAGAGTTGTAGCCAGAAGAATTACTTAAAAACATCTTCCTAGGGGCGCCTGGGTGGCTCAGTCGTTAAGCGTCTGCCTTCGGCTCAGGTCATGATCCCAGGGTCCTGGGATCGAGCCCCGCATCGGGCTCCCTGCTCGGCGGGAAGCCTGCTTCTCCCTCTCCCACTCCCCCTGCTTGTGTTCCCTCTCTCACTACCTCTCTCTCTCTGTCAAATAAATAAATAAAATCTTTAAAAAAAAAAAATCTTCCTAAATAATGTCTACTTATGAATTTAAGTAGGAGAGAGCGAAAGAAAAAAAAAAAATGCAGGTAATTATAATGGAAGTAGCAGGGGAAGATAATAGGTTCAGGAAATAACATAAACTTCTTTTTAACACAGCCAATATTCTGCATTAGTTTCATTCTTCTGTCATCTGCAGATTACCCAGTTATTTCAGTATTGTTTAGCCTGAGTTATGCTAATGGCATAGAAATGGAGAGATATGAGACACCTTAGTGATTCTGGAGAAGCTATTTCATTTTATAAGGTTAAGCAGATAAAAGTCTGTTCATTTTAGGAACCCAGTTTAAGAAACTAAAATAAGATATGTGTATTAGTCAAATGTAATAGATAGCGTGGATCAGAAAAATATAGCCAAATAACCAAGAAGGATCGAAAATGCATTCATACTTTTTGGTTTGCTTTGACACTTTACATATTTAATGCATTTTTAACTTGTTCAGTATAGTTTGAGAAAAAAATGAATTTCTAATGCAGCAATTTATTTTACTTTGTAATTTTGGTGTTTTAAGGAATTGGAACACTATAATTGAATGAATGTCTCTCTAAAGTTCTCTGATTAAAGACTGGACCTAACTTTGCACTTCCACGGCAGATTCTTTGATTTTGATTTCTTGCTTCGGACATTCAAGTAAAGATAATGAGTAATAGAATAATGATGGCACTAAAAAAATCTTGATAAATATACGAGGGCAAATGGAAGCATCTGTATCCTTAATCTGGAATTAAGCCTTGCACATATGATAGGTATACAGTACCATTTCTTACATTTGAACGAAACTTAAAATCAGTTCAAGTGTCTGTTATTATAGATTCTTTATGTCCTTGGCTCATTTGCAGATGAACAAGTTTTGAGAAAAACATTTTGATATCTACTTCAGTAATGTCTTACCTGAAAAGGAGTTTTCAGATATATAAACTGCAAACTTTAAGACCCATCACCATAATACTATTTCAGAGCTTGACTTGTCCCCCAAGTACCTAAAAGTATAATTAACAGTCAGCATATCAAAGCCTGATACTTAGTAGTTGTTATCAAATAAAACTAAGAAAACAATTAGCCTTGAAAACAAACAAAACTTTATTAAAAATAATTAGATATCAGTTGTTGCTTAATGTGAATCAAAGAGTAAAGGAAACTGAAGAGATAGCTAGAATAGATTGGCAATTAATGAAGTGTATCTGGATCATAAATAAACAAGATTATTTGTTCAGTAGAATATTACTGTAAAATTCATGAATGTTTAAAGAAAAGTACAATGTTCCTCTTCTGTGATGTTTTGTATATAACTATAAATATTCATGAATAGTATTAGTTCAGGTTATCTATGTGAATATAAATTTTTATATAACGGGCCACTTAATGTTCATTGGATCATGCTTTTGAATATAAATTCACTAGTATCAGACACATCATGGTTCTGACCCAGCTCATGAATATTCACACACACAACTGATCTTTCTGCAAGTAATCACATCCATAAAGATGGAAATCATGTTAGCTCTGAATAATGAGAAATGCATTAGGATGCCGATCCCAGGACAATTTCACAATACCCTTGTTTTCATTTTTTTTTTGTAAATGATAAATTTTAAAATATAAACACATATGCTGTGCATCTTTCTTGTTAGAAACTCTTCTTTTTCCTTTACAAAATATTGGGCTCGATTTAACTGTGACTGCATTTGCTTTCTTGATTTGCTATGGTCACAGAAAAGAATAGAAATTAAGAGGTATCTCTGGTCCTTATCCCACACTCATTTCCACTGTTTAGGCTTGACCATAGATTCTCAAGTGCACAGTGGTCCAATGTCCTGATCCGCTGGGGGCACGGTACATATTTTCCATATAAAGGGGGAAAAAAAGATGTGAGATGATGTATGTCATCTTTTTGTGTAAAGGGAAAATAATATTCTAAGCTAAGTAAATGTTTAATATGTTAGAAATAAGATGCTCTGATCATGGAGGCCCATAATTATAAATTATATGCTAAATCCCACATTGTGATTGCTTCTCTTTAATTCTAATGGATGGCATGTGTTTTTAATACCTTTCCAAGTTCTATCAGTAGTTACAAGTAAGAGTCAAAATCGATGGCCTGGCCCTTATTAACATCATTCTGTAATATTTCATTGAACTAACCAGAGAAAAAGAACTATTGCTCGCAAAGGTAGTAGTAAAGCATCAGCTACTTCCGATGTCTAACATCGGTATTGTCCAGCCTCTGAATGAATTTTCTCTTTGTCAGGATGTATACATTTGTTGTTGTTGTTGTGTAAATAGTTGATAGATGATGTTAGATGACAAACATCTTTTTTTTTTTATTCCCCAATTCCAGTAGGGACCAAATTATGTTAGTGTGTCGCAGAGATTCATCAGTAGTTGAGGGGAGTGTGGCCATTAACCTGTGTCCTCGCGTGTTCTGTAGGTTTCTTTGGAGCTGCTTCAGGGGGGAGTATGCCCGCCCCCCACCTTCTCAACCAGGAAAGCTGCTATTGCCTGTTTTACGTATCACGGTGGTTCTCAACAGGGAGCGGTTTTCTTTGTATTCTGACCATGTCAGAAACACGTTGCTTATCACAGCGTGGGGGTGGGGGGGGCGTGGTACTGGCATCTAATGGGCAGAGGCCACAGATGCTGCTAGACATTCTACAAAACACAGAATAGCTCCCACAACAAAGAATTACCCAGCCCAGAGTGTCAGTATGGCCTCCATCATATAAACATTTGTTTGGAGAAATAATTGCATGTCTAAACTTGCTGACAAACCACTGGGTTAGAGCACTTTTCGAGCTGAAGTGATGAAAAAGTTTAACATAATTTTGCAAATAAATGAAGACAGATTCAATAAGTAATTATAAATCTGAATTTTTCCTTTTTTTTTTTTTTGTTATCAGCAACAATTGTGTTAAATGAACTCAACTGGACAAGTGCCTTAGACGAAGTTTTCAAAAAAAATCGAGAGGAAGATCCTTCGTTGTTGTGGCAGGTGTTTGGCAGTGCCACAGGCCTTGCCCGATATTACCCAGGTAAGTGCTCGGTGACTCTGTAGGTATCAAATAAAATGGTAAGTACCAGACTTAATATTTTTTTTTTTTTTTAAGATTTATTTATGTATTTGAGAGAGCGAGAATGAGAGAATGAGAGAGAGAGAGCACATGAGAGGGGGGAGGGTCAGAAGGAGAAGCAGACCGCCCGCCGAGCAGGGAGCCCGGTGCGGGACTCGCTCCAGGGACTCCGGGATCATGACCTGAGCCGAAGGCAGTCGCTCAACCGACTGAGCCACCCAGGCGCCCCAGACTTAATATTTCTTGATATTTCTTAATACTAAGCTAATATCTGTTAGCTTCTCCGGTTTTGTGAGAAAAAGATAGCACACTACTTTTAGAAGGAAAGCGTACTCTTCCTTACGTGGCTCTGCATCTGCCCAAATCACTTCAAACCGCGAGACCTCAGGAGCAGTGGGAGCTGTTGGCGTCTGGAATCGGGCCAGGCTACGGTGATGCCACGAGCAGGTGTCTGGGTACCTGGGACAGGAGGTTGCCATGAATCATGAATCCTAAAACAGTTCTGAGATGAGGGTCCATCTGCTCAGATGGACAACGTGTTGAATCACATTGGAGAATGGAAGAGAATTTTTAGAAGCTGAGTGAAATATTTCTCCAGATTTCAAGTCTGTGTTTTTTATATGGAAAGTGTTGATGCTTTGCTTTAATCAGTGAATGGGGATTTGTTAAAATGAGTATGACGGGAAACAAAATGAAATTTTAGAGAAAATAGAGCTTCCATAAGTGTCAGGTTGGATTAATTTTGAGGGCATCTTAGTGATGATATATATTCAGTGAAGATCAATATATTTTACACATTAAAATGAATAAACCCTTTTGTAATATCCTTTACTCTTATAAAGGAGGGTAAGGAGAAATAAATCAATAACAAAAAAGAAAAGTTTATGACTCATATATATCCCGAGAACCTGTTGAAAAGACTTTAAGTGAAATATCTGCTGATATTTTTAAATTCACCTTTTAGAATGGGCTGACAAGCACAAGTGCTTTTGCTTGAGTATTATGGGATACATGTTAGGTAATTTGACTTGAAACAATTGTAATATATAGAACAATTCTTCTTGAGACTTAAGTTTTCTAAATATCTTTAACAAATAGAATTATTCACAATAAAAAGTCACACCAGTGAAAATGGGGTGAAATAGACATTAGCTAATATCTAGCTTTGTATGGCAATATTAATAAAAAAAATACGTAGGCATCATCAGACTGAATAGCACTAAGATTAGGTAGACATTCTGCATGGATGCAAATGCCAGATGGTAAGATCAGTGACAGTTCTTTTGTAGAAACCCAATGGGCTGGTCAAGGCCTACTTCATTTTTCATAGTTGGAAAAAAATCATGAGTTAATAAAATAATGTTAGTATCTATGTAATATTACCATATAGGTTGTAGTAGAATTTTCTACTTAAAGAAATATGGTTCAGTGTCATACAACCCTTCTAAATATTTTTATTTGCTAATATGTTAAATATCATGTATCAAGAGACTGAAAATTTTAGTATATAAGATCATATTAAAAAAAAGCAACACTACTCATGAACATAATAAACGTGATAAAATAAACCTTGGGCATCTGGGTGGCTCAGGCAGTTAAGCATCTGCCTTCGGCTCAGGTCATGATCCCAGGGTCCTGGCATTGAGCCCCCACATCAGGCACCCTGCTCAGCGGGGAGTCTGCTTCTCTGCCCCTCCCCACTGCTCGTTCTCTGTCTCTCTCTGTCAAATAAATAAATAAAATCTTTAAAAAAAAAAAAATAAACCTTAAAGTTATATCAGGTCTTACAAAACAATTCTGTCATTTTGAAACATGGCAGTTAGACACCTGATGACCTATTCAGTAATACACAGGTATTAGAATGCATTTATCAATAACTTATAGTATTATATAGCTGTAAAGTCTTTTAAAATGTATTGCCTCATTACAAATTCCATTTATGAAAAATTGATGGAAAGGTGGAAAAAGATGAGAGGAAAATTAGTGTAATAGTGAAAAACCAAGAGCCAAGTACCAAAGGAAATTGATGATGCTGAGAAAAAGAAGAGAGACAAGGATTCTAAGAGAAATAGGAAAGGGAACAGAGGGAAGATTGCATAAGAAAGGAGAGAGAGAACATGCGGTCAAGAAGAGGACGGAAAGAACAATTGAGTTATGAGCATTTTTTTAAAGATGGCTCTTTTTACAAATAGCAGCTAACTTTTAGCCTTCCTAATTATCTTCTATACGCTTTCATTTTAAATGCTAATCAAGGACAGTGGCTTTGATTTTTTTTCTTAACCCTCTTCATATATTTTTTAATGTGTTGATATTTGTCCACTTGATCTTGGAAAAGACTTTTGACTGTTTAATTTAGCTGAATCCTTACGATTCCCCCCTAATATTAGCCATGGAAGCAACCTTCGGCCTCTCACAGTAGTTAGTTTTTGAGCAAAGGTATGCCAGACAAGTTGGTTCACTAAACACTGATGGCTTTAATTCATTTACCTGTTAGAAGAGGTCATTTAACATAGCTGTCTTGACTGCTATGAAATGAAATACACTTGACATAATTGAACTTCGGTGATTCCTTCCTAAGTTCTTTTCATTTCCTTTTGTTTCTGACTACCTTTTGGCATATAGAAGTCATATATGATGGGTACAACTTGATGAGTTTGGAGATAAGTATACGTACACCCCTGATACCATCACTACAATCAGTACTATAAACCTATCCATCATCTCTAGAAGTTTCTTCCCACCATCTTATTTATTATTCTATTTTTTGTGATAAGAGGGTTAGCAGATTTTTAAGTGTATAATACAGTATTTTTAACTATAGGTATTATGTTAAACAGAAGATCTCTAGGGTTTATTCCTCTTGCGTAACTGAAACTTTGTTACCTCTGACTAATACCTCCCCATTTCCCACTTGCCGCAACCCTGGGCAACCACCATCCTACTCTACTTCTATGACTTTACTCTTTTTTTTTTTTTTTTTTAAGATTTTATTTATTTATCAGAGAGAGAGAGAGACAGAGGCAGGCAGAGGGAGAAGCAGGCTTCTTGCTCAGCAAGGAGCCCGATGTGGGACTCGATCCCAGGACCCTGGGATCATGACCTGAGCCGAAGGCAGACGCTTAACCGACTGAGCCACCCAGGTGTCCCTATGACTTTACTCTTTGAGTTTCCTCATGGAAGTGGTATCATGTAGTATTTGTCTTTCTGTGTTAGGCTTATTTATTTGGTTAAAGGCTGAATGATTTTTTTTATATACATATTAACAATATAATAGAACCAAGTCTCTATCATAAGACATTAAGACAATATTATAATTAAAAACTAAGACACCATATTTCTGTTGATGCTGACATGTTTTTAAAACATCCAACCCTTTTTTCAAGTTTAAAGACTTTTTAAATGAAGTGATTTTTAAAATTTACTCAGGAAATCGTACGTTTTTTCTCTGATCTTACCATTTTAATACACGCCAGGATAAGATTGAGTGGCTCATCCCTAATAATTGTCTGTTAAAGTAAAGGTCAAAAATAGCCTTTACTATTGTTATCTTACTATAATGGAAATAGAATATATGTTACTTTTACATAATTGGATTTTTTTTTAAAGATTTTATTTATTTGAGAGAGAATGAGAGAGCACATGAGAGGGGGGAGGGTCAGAGGGAGAAGCAGACTCCCTGCCGAGCAGGGATCCCGAGGCGGGACTCGATCCCAGGACTCCAGGATCATGACCTGAGCCGAAGGCAGTCGCTTAACCAACTGAGCCACCCAGGCGCCCACGTAATTGGATTTTTATATAACAAGATTTGTGCCTCAGGCTTAGATGTCCCTAGTAGCTGTGAGAAACTGGTTGGATTTTCGAAATTTTCTCAGCCTTGATCATCAAATCTGGAAAAAAAATATGAACAGCAACTCTTCAGTTTATTCCCTGAAGGTTGTTATCAATGAGATAATAAACTGTAAAGTACTTTGGAAATAGAAAACAGTAGGCATTTTTACAAGAGTGAATATCAACTAGAATAATTTTTTTCTAAATTCACTTTTCATGTGAGAAAATGAAGAACATAATTGAGATTTCAGTCAGTTGACAAGGAAACTGAAATAGCCCTCTGTTTATGACCCCTTCCACATTTCTAAGCAATAATATCTACCAGTTAACACCGCATGGTAGAGGTGGTCCAGAGATTTTAGCCTCTGACCTTGGTTAGGGCACTTCTCAATAGGGTTTCCAGGTAAAACAAAAGTTGCTCAGTTAAGTTTGAATTTCACACAAATAACATTTTTTAATACAGGTATGCAGTATTTGGGAAAAACACTAAAAACATCTGATCTTTATCAAAATTCAAATTTAACTTGGTGTCCTATATTTCTTTTAGCTAAATCTGTCAACCATATCTGTCACGTTCTGAGTTTCTACATTTGTGATATAGGAAAATCAGCTTCCACATTATGTCATGGAATTCTTGTGGGGATCAAACAATCTATTATATACATTAATCCAAGTGTAGAAATTTTATATTTAAAAAAGTTCTGTCAACTGTCTTTTAAAAATTTTTGCCACAGGGGTGCCTCGGTGGCTCAATCGGTTAAGCATCTGACTTCGGCTCAGGTCATGATCCCGGGGTCCTGGGATTGAGCCCCACATCGGGCTCCCTGCTCAGCGGGGAGTCTGCTTCTCCCTCTCCCTCTGGTTGTGCATGCTCTCTCACTCTCAAATAAAATCTTTTTAAAAAAATGTTTGCCACAATTACTGAAAATAAAGTGTTTTTGCAAAAACTAGGATCCTCTGACTCACAATAGAGTCTAAGAAATGTTGTTCTGTGTTGAGATGCAATTTAGAGCAGGGCTACTTGGCATGAGTGGATTAAGCAAGTATATTCTACCCAATAACCAGGTTATAAATGTCACTTCCGTCATTTGATGTGGTGGCAACCTTTGGAAAACACTCACAGACTTCAGCAA